GCTTTTGCCGAGCTTCCTGACCAGGCTGTAATTCCTCCCGGGGATAGCGGTGTTGGGGTCGAAATCTCTGGCATAGCCGTAAATGCTTTGCGCTGCYATACGACGCTTCAGCATTCGGGTCTGGGAGTATGGTCTTCGGTTATTTTTATCCAACTAATAAAGAGAAAAATAATTTGAAAAAAATTCTTCCTTGCAAATGAGTTTTTAAATGCTTCGATTTGGAATATTCTAAGGTGTGCATGCTCGTTCAAAGTTCAAATTCAAAGTTCTGTAGAGTCTCGTCTTCACTGTAGCTTTTCATYGTATACTGGACTAAATATCTGAACTCCACAACTAGACTCGTTTTCTCTTTGTTCTTCCTTGTCCTTGAATGATACATAGTTTTCAAGATCGTCTATGTCTTTAATAACGACACCAGGTTCTTGTTCACTGAGCAAGAACTTGGTATCGTTATTGAAGATGTAGACGTACAGACACTCGATTGCCTGCAGAGCGACCGCTCGGTCTAAACAGGRTTGTCCATCGGTGTTGTAGACTAGCACTCCAGGAAAATTTCTTGRCTTAAGATCAGTACTAGCAAATCTTTCTATTCAAAATTTGCCGACATTTTAATTATGAATATTACAACATCTGAGGTCGKTACCATTATTACGTCAGAGCGCGCGGTCGTGACGCTTGAAACCCATTCATTATCGCTGTCATTCGTTGAGTTTTATTTTCCGAGCTCTGGCATATATGAATAGGAAAAGAGTAAAAACATCAAACTTCTATATTTTGTTCAGTATTGAAAAGGAATGGGTGTCTTTAGAACAGTCCTCTTTGGCTTGGGCGAATTATTAGTATTTCCCATTTCAGACCACGYGTCATTCCCTAGCGTATCATTTCTTTGTTTAACGGTTCCGCATGAGAAGACACATGACTATTGATACAACTCAAACGAAGAATCTCAAGAAAATGATACACTTGGTGTGAAATAGGGAAAAATTACGCCCAAGTTGAAGAGGTCTATTTTTAAAAGGGGATACTGTACTACCCACTTATTTTTGATAAAAGACAAGTGAACAACTTCATCTTTATATGTTCTTTATACTCATAACGTACATCAGTAAACACTTGTGACATGTACAGATATCGAAACTCGAAGAATAAACATATTGTTTATGTACATTACCTCGATAAAGGTTTTCAAAAACTGAGCCATTCCAACCAAAAACCTTCTTTATACGCATTTTCTGGAGCAAATTATCCCGAAAAGAAAGTAATAATACTCAAGGAACAGTGACTTGAAATAGGAAATAAATAGCTTTGGAAAGCTATGCCTGATCAATTTAAATTTAAGCATTTTTTCGTTGCCTTCATAAGACTATGCAGGAGAGCCAAACAGAAAAAGATAATTCCGAATTTAAAACATGAATAGTGTTTTAAGAATTGACTTGAAATTTAAAGCTTTTTTGAATCCTGTTGAGAAGTAAACCACTTGGGCTCCCAGGAGTATCACTGAAGAGAATCTTTCTTGGGTTGATCTCAGTTAATTTGATGCAAGAATTCATCACTATTCAGTTAACAGCAGTTTTCTATCATATTAACATGGTCCTGTTCTCATGATGATGGTGGGGACTGTTTTAGTCCAACCTGGTTAAAGAGTCTGTTCTTGATAACTTGTGACATCAGTCCATTTACTGTCTCAATAGCTGTCTTRCAACTAGAGGGAAAATAAAGTTATATAAAGTGTCTGTGATTGATGATCACTMAGCTAGCCGYMCCACAGGGAACCCAGTTTTTTATTYCTACATACAGGACAACATAGGATACCATAGGAAATGGAATTATATAAGAAAAAAAAACGTGCAAACCGAATTGCTTGTATTATTTAGCATAACCTCTTGGACCCAAATACAAAAAGTTTATTGAATAGAATATTTTCCAGATTGAGATTGGGCTACCTGTGGTCATACATACCAGAGGTACTAAATTGTTGCTTATGGGAGATTGGTTACTTACAAGAACGTTCACCATAGAAAGCCCAAACCTTCAAATGAATATTCTTTCCTGTTATAATTAGTACCTGTCTTTTGTTGTCTTTGCTAGTTTTCCTTCTTCTTTCTTATCTGCATCCAACCCAAAACTACCTAATCTTCCAACCTGAAATAAGAGAAACCAATACAGATAGTACTTATGATACCACTATACAAGTGAAAACATTATAAACACTTGATAAATAAGCCATTTACCTGAGATTCAGCCTGTTCTAGTTTTTCTGATAAATCTTCTATTTGATGGTTGGTGTACTCGGCATTCTGAGAAGAGTATCATGTATCAGATAGCACCACACATACATCTGTATTGTCATAAAGGAGTATATGATTTCATGATGATGAAGGTGACAATGATGATAATAGTGGTTGTGATGATGGTGATGATGTTAATAATGAATATGATG